GTCCTGCACCATCCTCACAATCTTTGCTATACTTTAATCCATTATTGTAAACATGGGGCAATCCATCTTGTTCAGGGTCTTTCCCTTTTTTTGGCAGACCCTCTACTTTACCAAGCTTGATGTCCTTCTCAACGGATTGGGTCCTCCTGATAGCCCATCCAATGTAAGCCCTTTCAGGGAGCATGCTGGCTTCCAGGACAGATTTGTTTGTTCTCCAGCAGCACATGGTATATTCTGTATTCTTCATCAACACTATAATTCAAATGCACAAACTCTTCTTTGGTCTTCCTTATTCATTGTCCAGCTTTCACATAAATACGATGTAATTGAAAATACTATGACTTGAGTCAGGCAGGTCTTAGTACTCAAAGTGACATCTTTTCTCTTTAACACTTTAAAGAAGTCTTTTGCAACACATTTGCCCAGTGCAATATGTCATTGATTTCTTGACTGCTGCTTCATGGGCAATGCTTGTGGATCCAAGTAAAATGAAATCCTTGACAGCTTCAATCTTTTCTCCATTTATCATGGCATTTCTTATTTGTTCAGTAATGAAGATTTGTTTTCTTTATGTTGAAGGGTAATGCACATTGAAGACTTTAGTCTTTAATCTTCAGCAATAAGTGTTTCAAGCTCTCTTCACTTTCAGCAAGTAAGGTTGTATTATCTGCATACCATGGGTGTTAATAAGTCTTCCTCCATTCCTAACACCATGTTTTTCTTCATATAGTCCAGCTGTGGTTGTTATATTCATGTGCCAACTTGGCTGGGCCTGGTTGAGTGGCTGGGCAGCTGGATGTAGCATTTCCCATGATGAAACTGGCAATCAACTCCATGGTGGAATATATTGTGAGCAGCTGAGTAGCTGCCTTTGGGTATGTTGTCTGCTTCCCGTATATAAGAAACAGTTTTGGGAACGGTCTCTAGCCTATGGCACGCTTGGACCCTGCATGTAGCTGTGTTGTTGCTCAGCAGCCTGCTATGCTCTGCCAACTTAGAGACTTACAATGGACTTAAGTTAATGGCTTGCCGTGTGGTTTGGTAACATCGGGACTGTGCCTTTTCACTGGTCCACCTTGGGAATTCTCAGCCTCCACAGCCAGCAGCTGTCTGAGTGCAGAAACGCCTCTAACTCCAGCGGGCTGGGAGCAGAAGGCAGAGCTGGACTCCAAGGTTGAGGGGCTTTCTCCCAGCCCCTAGCACCTGGCACTTTGAACTTGAACTTAAAGCCTCCAAATTATAAGAATAAACTACTGTTTGTTGAGGCTATCCCATTTGTGGTATATTCTTGTCAGAGTGGTACTAGGTAACCGGAATAGAATTTAGTACCGAGAGAGTTGGGTGCTGGTCTTACAGATGTCTAAAATGTGGAAACAGGAGTGGAGTATGTCCTTGACCCAAGACCCTGGCAGAGAGACCCTAGCATACGCCATGACAGACGGCAGGAGCAGAGCAAGAGACCGGCATGAGAGATGGCAGGAGCAGAGCAAGAGACTGACATGAGACAGCGACAGCCTTACCAGCCCATGGAGGAGAAAGCTTGATGCCTTTGGGTAGGCGGCTTTCTGGTAGAGTGGGTTGCCTTCAGGCATTAATTGGTAGAAGAGACTGGCTTGAAATGGAGTAGCAGGTTGGCCGGCCCACGGAGCAAGAAAGCTAAATGTCCTGTGGGGCAAGAAGATTTCCAGTGGAGTGGGTTGCCCTGGGGCATTAATTGGCAGAAGCGGAGACCAAGGAAATGGAAGCAGAGCTGCCTCAGCCTGAAAAGGTAGGACCATGGCCTTTGCGGGTGGAACAATCACAGCCCCCTAGGTTTCAAAGAGCCAGGCCTTCACCAACTTGGTTCTGGAGTGTGGGGCTGCTCGTTCGTGAGCCAGTGGGATGGAGCCATAGCCGCTGGCCAAGAGTGAGGGGGTGGGGCTGCCATGACCAAGAGGGAGAAGAATGGGCCCCACCAGGCCAAGGTCACCACTCAGGAACTAGGGGACTGGAGCCACCCAGTAGGGGAGATCTGAACAGATGTCACCCAATGAAGATCTGTACAGATGCCAAATTGGCAAGGCATGGAAATGTCGTAGTTATGTTTGTGTCAACTTGGCTGGGCCCAATTAAGTGGCTGGGCAGCTGGATGTAGTTATTCCTCATGATGAGACTGGCAATCAACTCCATGGTGGGATCTGCTGTGAGCAGCTGAGTAGCTGCCTTTGGGTATGTGGTCTGATTCCTGTATATACGGTGTAGTTTTGGGAATGGTCTCTAGCCTATGGCATGCTTGGACCCTGCATGTAGCCATGTCATTGCTCAGCAGCCAGCTATGCTCTGCCAATCTTGGAACTTACAGTGGACCTAAGTTAATGGCCTGCCGTGTGGTTTGGTAAAATAGGGACTGTGCCTTTTGACTTGTCAACCTTGGGGCTTCTCAGCCTCAGCAGCCAGTAGTTGTCTGAGTGCAGAAATGCCTCTAGCTCCAGTGGACTGGGAGTGGGAGGCAGAGCTGGACCCCAAGGTTGAGGGGTTTTCAACCAGCCCCTAGAGCCTGGCACTTTGACTTGGACTTAAAACTTCCAAACTGCAAGAGAATAAACTCCTGTTTGTTAAGGCCGTCACATTTATGGTATATATTCCTGTCAGAGTGGCACTAGGTAACCAGAACACCAGCTTTTCAGATTATTTGCTCAGAACATAGACTGAATAAGTATGGAGAAAGGATACAACCCTGATGCACACCTTTCCGGTAGTATCCCCTTGTTGTGTTTGAAGGACTGCCTCTTGGTCTATGTACAGGTTCTGCATGAGCACAATTTTGTGTTCCAGAATTCCCATTTTTTGTAATACTAGCCACAATTTGTTATGAACCACACAGTTGAATACCTTTGCACAGTCGGCAAAACACAGGTAAACCTCTTTCCTGGTATTCTCTGCTCTCAGCCAAGAGCCATCTGACATTAGTAATGATTACCCTCATTCCCCATCCTCTTTTGAATCAGAATTTCTAGAAGTTCTGTGATGTACTACTGCAATCGTTTTTTAATTAGAATTAAGATATGATTAGAGTTGTTCAGAGGAAATCTTAGTGATTTCATAGGAAGCTGAATATTGGACTCTTTAGAGACAGTACCACATAGTGTTTAAACATGTCTGTTCTGGAGTAAGATGTTCTTATGTCAAATCTTTGCCCTGCCACTCCCTTGCTGGCTCTTTGTGAAGGTTGGTAATTATGTCTTTGCCCAGTTTCCTTGGGTATGAGTAGATGAGAGTGAAACCTAATCTTTTGGTTTTATGAAAGGATTAAATGAGTTAATTTCTTTTTTAAAACTACTATTTAATGGCTCTGCCCAAGGGAAAGGGTTAATAACAATGAGAATTCAATAGCCTGAAATTCCTATAGTGGCCAGAATATAGTCAAAATGTGGTCAAAAGAAACTTGCCTTCCTGGAAAAAATGGCTGATTCAAGATTTGGGACAGGAAATGTATAAGATGGGCTTCAAACTTCTTTTATACAAAGTTAAGAGAGAGATGAGATTTCTAGATTCATTTCAGAAGCACTCAGGAGGAGTTGAGATAATAATATAAAATACTATCTGAAAAGGTTGAAATATATTGAATGAATTCAAAATCGAAGTATTCATAATGACACTGTGCTCATTTTTGTATACTGCTGGTAATACAGTAATAAAGATACAGTCTGCTTTTCCTATAATAGCTCTACCTCAAGGTAATTAACTATATATTTGACTAGAGAAATTTCTCTTATGGGAGTATTTCAACAAATAAATAGGAAAAAATAGAATACTAGCATTTTATAAGCACCAGTACAAAAACTGGACCAGTAGTCAGTATGTGCTTCCTAATGAAAACACATAAGGAGATGTTTGAAAAAAGCTGTACCTAAGTTGAATCAAGCCTTTAGATGAGGGTGGGTGATATTTTTTTTTTTATTGTGATTTGTGTGAAAGTGTACAAAGCTAATTCACTTTCACACACACTTTGTCTCATGACATTGACTACAATTTACCCTAATGCAATAGCTCCCCTCCCACTTCCTCCCCATAGTTGAATTTTTTACGTAAAGATCCAGAGAGTAAATATTTAGACCTGTGTCACAACTATGCAATACTGCTGCTGTAGCACAAAAAAAGCCTTGGACTTTGTGTAAAGATAGGGCTGGGTTCCAAAGAAACTATTTACAAACACAAGCAGCAACAGGATTTGACCCACAAGCTCAATTTTGCCAACCAGTGTTCTAGGATAAGCCTTAATTTATATAATCTGGATTTATTGTTGGTGACACACAAAAAAACCACTGTCATTGAGTTGGATCCAACACACAGTGAACTTATAGGACAGAGTAGGGTTTCCAAAGATGTAACTCTTTATTGAAACACACTGCCTCATCTTTCTTTCATGGAGCAGCTACTGGGTTCAAGTCATTAACCATTTGGTTAGCAGCTGGATGCTTTAACCACTGCTCCACCAGAGAAGGCCTGGTAAAATCTTAAAAGAGAGGACAATGTCTTGTTCTTATTTTATTTTATTTTAAGCAAGTATCCCTATTTTACCAAGAATATTAATCCATAAACAAACCATTTGCATTGAGTTGATTTTGACTATGGAGGCCCTGGGTATGGGATAGTAGAACTCTGGTCTGTAGGATTTTTTTTTTTTTTTTCCTTTTTCCCACAGAATTATATTGTCAACACTTTTTTCTAAGGAGCCTCTTGATGAATTTAAGCTGCCAAGCTTTTGGTCAGTCGTCTAGTGCTTAAGGGTTTTCACCACTCAAGGACTCCTTGACAAAGAATATGCAGTGAATAAAAGCTTGGGAATGAAGACAAGTGGTCAGAAGAATAAAAATAGGTAAGGAAAAGAGAGAAGAAAGAGAAGCAAAAGAAAATATCTGTGGTTGATTTGCTTTCAAAATACAGACAAAATTAAGGAAACTTCTCTTTCATTTGGTTTTCTTGTCACTTCCATCTTTTCTATCAGACCTGTCAACAACATGACACCAGGAAATCTATCAAGTCCTGCAGAATTCTTCCTTTTGGGCCTCTCAGAGGATCCAGAAATGCAACCCCTGCTCTTTGGGCTCTTCCTGTCCATGTACCTGATCACGGTGGCTGGGAACCTGCTCATCATCCTGGCCATCATCTCTGACTCCCACCTCCACACTCCCATGTACTTCTTCCTCTCCAACCTGTCCTTTATAGACATCTGTTTCACCACCACCACGATGCCCAAGATGCTGGTGAACATCCAGACACAGAACCAATCCATCAGTTACAGAGGCTGCCTCACCCAGATCTGCTTTGTCCTGATATTTGTTGGACTGGAAAATGGCATTCTGGTAATAATGGCTTATGATCGATTTGTGGCCATCTGCCACCCACTGAGATACACGGCCATCATGAACCCAAAACTCTGTGCATTCCTGGTTCTGTGGTTCTTCTTCCTTAGTGTTGTTGATGCCCTGCTGCACACTTTGATGGCACTGCGACTGTCCTTCTGCACAGATCTGGAAATCCCCCACTTCTTTTGTGAATTAGCTCATGTCCTCAAACTTGCCTGTTCTGATATCCTCATAAATAACATCTTGGTCTATGTAGTTACCAGTCTTTTTGGTGTCCTTCCACTTTCTGGAATAATTTTCTCTTATACTCAGATTGTCTCCTCAGTCCTGAAAATTCCATCAGCTAGTGGAAAGTACAAGGCTTTTTCTATTTGTGGCTCACACTTAGTAGTTGTTTCCTTATTCTATGGGACAGGCTATGGGGTCTACCTAAGTTCTTCAGACACTCACTCCTCCAGGAAGAGTGCAATAGCCTCAGTCCTGTACACTGTGGTTACTCCTATGATGAACCCCTTTATCTACAGCCTGAGAAACAAGGACATGATGGGGGCTTTTAGAAAAGTCATCTCTAGAATGTTTTCTTTCCATTGATGTGTTAGGTGACTTGGACTTAATCTGCTGGAACATGCCAGAGAGAAATAAATAATGAGTAACTGAAAAACCCTGACCAGGTTCTTTGCAAACAGTTGACCAGAGACTGTAATGGTTAAGGGTGAGAACTTTGGAATCAGACCATCTCAGTTTGAATCCTGCCTTTGCTGTATCATAGCTCTGTGACATTTGAAAATTGATTCCAACTCTCTAAGCTCACTTTCCTTATCTATAATATTGATATGATTACGTTAGCTCACATATTTAGGAAGATTTGAAATACTTCAAATTTACCTGTGAGAATGCCTTTGAGGAGTTGTTAGAAGGGAGAAATCACAATTTAAATAGAGACAAACAGTACAAACTAGTACCTTTTTTAAGAAAGAGTCAGAAATAGGATAAGTTTAGGCACCAAACCCCAGGCTACTTTTCACTCCCTCATGTGTTGACCTCCTTCTAAGACTTTTCTTCTGATGGTCACCAATGGCTGCAATAGTGACCAGGTAATTTTCAGACACAATAACTTGTTGTTGTTGTTGTTGTTAAGTGCCGTCGAGTCATTTCCGACTCATAGTGACCCCATGCACAGCAGAACGAAACACTGCCTGATCCCGCGCCAGCCCCACAATCCCTGCTATACTTGAGCCCATCATC